GTCTGAAGCGACCAAATTTTTCGGATAAGGCAGTCGTACTGCCGGATCGGACGTCGGATCGGATGGATTTTTCGCGCATGTGTCTCGCGCTTTACGGATATTGTGGATCATATTCAGCCTATTTGTGCACACGACGGGTAGATTTCAAATTTCGTTGAAGTATCCCCTTTAGCTGAGACTATAGACCCTTTCTTCAAAGGTGCTGCCATCTTGAATTGTCTTCACTTCCAGTATGGGCGAAAACATTGTCTTTTCGTCGCCACGCCAATAGAAGACACTTAGGATATGAGCGTAACCGTCACACATTATCGTTTTGCGTTTTTTTATTATTTGTTTATTTTATATTTTAATTATTTATTTATTTATTTATTTTACTTTTTTTTTATTTTTTTACTAGTTACGGGTTGAAACGTTTTAGTATTTTTTCGTCGCCCATACCGGATATGCCTATCAGGTGGCTTGAGACGGGAGTACACGGAAAAGGTCTAGAGTAAGTTGCAGCTCAAGAAGGTAAAGCGATGGAAAGGAAGGTTAGGAGGATGATGCAGACGGAACGCTGGAGAGGAGAAGGGGAAACCTCCTCCTCTCTCCAGCGTTCCGTCTGCTTCCCCCTCCCCTGCCTTACTTTCCCTCGCCGTACCTTCCTGAGTTGCAACGGTCTATAGAAGCTCCGCCTTCAGCGCGAGCTTTCTGCCCTTACTAACACAAGTGTGGTCGAGCAGGCGCGCGAAACAAAAGCACTGGAGGCCAGCGAGCTCGCGCTCAAGGCGGAGCTTAGCGTACTTCAAAATGGAAGCACAACAAACGCTTTACGCTTTAGCAAGACTTGTTGTTGTTGGGCTAGTTGGTTCATGGCGCCGAGTAAACTTGGTATGTGCAAGCACATTACGCTTGTCCTTGGCCACTCCTTCGTCCTCTGTGTATGCGCATAACAAGTTTGCTCAGAACAAACGCTTGTTCGACTGCACTACCCGTCATCTCAACGTAAACATGCGTCGGGTACTCGGACATAAAAGCGATCCAGCAAAGAGCGAGTCTAGACTGAAACATCTCGCGTCGGTGTCCCGCACGGCTGGGGAATCCCGTTGGCGCACGCCCGTGAGACTATTTATAGCCTCGTATTCTTCGCCCTCCCCCTTTCCCGGCCACGCCGCATGTGTCAAGCATGTGCGCCGCACGTGCTTTTTAAACTCTGGCTCTAGCCAAGCGAGGAAAGAAAAGCGCTTCGCCAATTGGGCGCCGTTGCTGTTCCTGCTCAGAGCTCGGGTTTTGTACCGGTTCCGCTAAGCGTTTTACGCATGCGTGACGCCGCCATAACTGTGGTTCACAGGAGGCAGGTGCCGGTTCAAAAGACGGTTCGTGTCGTTTCGTGCTCTGCCATCGCATACCCGCAGCGGGGTTGTAACGTCTGCAGAAGGACTCCAGTTTTACTAGTATAGCGACAACCAATACAAATTGACAGAGCAGATTCCGCTGGAACAGAATAACGGCATTCAGTTCAGTCCTCTGCTGTGCTCCGCCATTCGCTTCCCAAAACATGCACCGTCACGGGCGCTTCAAAGAATGTCGCTACTTGTAGAATACTCTCATCTAGGGACTTTATGTTCCCTCGATGAGATTGGAGAGATCCAAAGATTGTTCCATGTAACTCTAGCGAACAGTAAAGGTTTTCCAATCCAAAAAAAAAAAAAAAAAAATCCATATTTCCGCGTTTAGTGCGAGCGCGCGCTTGCATGCCCCAAAACGATACAAAAGAAAAAGCGCTCTAAAATTGCTTTAAATTGACCGAGAGAATTTCCCATTAACCTGCGAAAAGCAGCTTTGTCATTTGTGCCGAGTTAAAAGTGCAATCCACTTATAACGATACCACATGTAACGATGTTCCGCTTATAACGATCAAAGGGCCATGCGTTTTCTTGCGTGGGGTATCCAGTCGAGATACAACGATAATCGGTTATAACAATCGCATTTTCGGGTTTATCGTTATCGTTTAAGTGGATCGCACTGTACACCTTCCGCACGCTAATCACGCAAAAAAAAAAAAAAATACTGAGCAACTGGGCAGCGGAGGCATGCGCGGCGTATGGTATTCAGCAGGAGAGAAGTACTACCAGAAGGTAAAGATGGCGGCGCGCAGAATGCGATTATTAGAATGGCATGGATCGGAATGTCGAGTCACCGACAACTTAAAAAAAAAAAAAAACGCAGGGGGTGCCGAGCGATTCTCATTATCGCTGGGCAGCCAATGAGAGCACGGCATCATACGACGACGAAGAACGGATCACGAACCTACGCGTCCAAAAAAAAAAAAAAAAAGTTTTACACGTTTGGGTGACGGATGATCACTGTATTAGGTATACGTTTGATATGTTTCGCCTTGGAGTTTGTTGATTGTGGATGTGAGCGAATTGACTATAGCGAATTGGTTGCAAGTACAGAGTCTAGAATCGCGTATAAAGCTTTAGATGTCAGCGAATAAAATGGTAAAGTCGTGAAATGGTGAGGAACGCGCCCAACGTTTCGTGTCTCTCGTCCGCGACTACAAAGTGCTCGCTTAACTTGCGTCGGCTGTTAAACAAATAGGCAGCTACCGACTATACATATCGGCATGCTTGACGGAGCACCGTATACGGTAAAACCGGGCTGAAAATAGAGAAGTAAAGAACCAAAGCGTGCCTGTATACTAAAACAAAAAAAAAAAGAGGAAAAAACATAAATGAAGATTGAAACCGCAGTCACAAAACAGACGAAAAAAAAAAATTGGAAACTCAGTGGCTCTCCAGCCACTGAGTTGGTCTAGTTGGTCTCAAAAAAAAAAACAACAGCCGAATCCTCCGGCGACGACAACCCGTTCGATTGGGTTCGGTCCCGCGACTGAGTACGAAATAATTGACCGCCTCGCTAATGCAAAGCTCAAACCCACTTCCATGACGACGACGATAGCGCAGAGACACAAATTAAGCATTCTGCCATTAGTTTTCCAATGGGCCGTCAAGAAAACGAACCGAGTATCTTGACGGAAAAGCGAGACCGGTAACAACAGCTGACAACGTAACTTGACAAAGAACAAACGCTGCGCGGCCCCCATCGAGCCAGTCAAGAGCGACGGCCTTATCAAAGGGGCGAGAGCGCAACCCTAAGAGAAGAGAGAAAGGAGGACCGGACGCCGCTTTTCTCCGCTAGGGGATTAGCCCGTCGCCCAAAATTGGTACAAAAGCGCCTTTCCTCCCCGTCCGTGCTTTTGACGACACTGCGCGCTACTAATAACAGAGTCACGTGCCTCCCTCCGACGCGCTGATTGGCTCGCTGAGGTCGTAGCCTTCACTGTTTGCCGAGTTTCGGTGAGACAGGAAAAGAGACCTTGCTGGTGCGTCGTCGCTTGGCTCGGTTTGACTTGGCGTTTGTTTTAACCGGCGTCTCGGTTTCCTATCGTGAGTAATCGTTCCGACCTCGTCTACGTGCTCGCGCTTTTGCTCGGGGGAACTGATTACGGTCGTTCCGCCGTTTCAGGTCGTTTGGTGTGTGTGTGAGAGCACCGCCGACTTGGGTTGGATGTTGAGAGCTGATTTACATCGAGAGTGTCGAGTAAAGAGGCGTGTGACGTGTGTTTATCGGGGATTCGGCGACGATTTGCCGGTCGAAAGAGGCAGCGCGTACTGGAATCTGTCTCTTCCTGTCGAGTTCGCAAAGTGGATTCGTCAGTGGGCTGCGCGATAACGTAAGACGATGGAAGCAACGCATTCGTGTACCGTGATTGCAGACCAGAACCTCTTTATTTCCGTTTGCTTGAAAGTACTGCCCACGTGCCCAGGTTTTGTTGTTTCAAACAGTTTATTTTTTTTTTATTTTTTTTCTGTTTGTAGGTTGAAGCGTACACTTGCTTACTTAATTTCTGTGGTCTACGTTCATCGTAGCTAACATCTCTCCGGGCTCTTCCTTCGCCGAGTTGTTTGCACGGGAGTTTGTCTGTCCGAGTGCATTCGTACGGACATGTTTATCTTTTAGCGTACTCTCGTGGATACCTTGAGACGATGTCATTTTTCACATATCGTTTCCAGAATTTTCACCTCTTACCGGGTTCTATTGAGAACGTTTAACCATCTTCACCATACCACTCTCATGCTTACTGACAGGGCCAGAACGGCAGGGCGTCTCTTTCCGACGCTCGGGCTCTAGCGCATGCGCTCTCGGGACTCGCGAGACGCCGAAGCGTTATCGAAGGTAGAATGCTCACGCTGGAGGCGGATCAACTGAATGACCCTCCTGCCGTTCTAATCCTGTCACTCTGGGAATTCATCAACGTACCCTAGTAGGGAGTTCTAGTAGACCGTTTCTGCTTCCCACTAAGCACCCGCATAGCGAGCGCTCCGTAATCCGCCACAAGACCTTGAACTATTCAGGCAAGGCTGGCGGCGCGCATGCGCAGCTGCAGCATTTTCTTTACGGATACCGTATAGCGGAGGTGAAAAATGATCTAGTAAGACCCTTTAATACCTTCAGAACGGGCCGTTTTGTCCGTCTTGTTCCACAATACTGATCACCCGGCGTTCCTCGGGAACAAGTGAACTGTCTTCTTCGTACCGCATTGACGTATGCTCGTATGTATTGAGGAGGGCGCGCCCAGGGTCTCAAGGGTTATTCACACAGCCCCTTTTTCTTAGGTTACGTTACGGAAGCTTACGCCGAGAGTCACCGGGTCATCCGTGCCTCGCACGAAACGTGGTAGCCGATTGAAGTACAGCTCTTCACGCGACTTATGAAGCGCGGATGTCTCGGCGACTCGTGACGTAAGAAAACGTAAGCGAGCGCTCCTGCGTGAATGGGTCTTAAAGACCAACAACCAGTTCGCGCCTTCCAATTTTCCCCCGCTTCCTCCTCTCCCCCTTTAACCCTGTCCACCGTTGCCTGTTTCCTCCTCCCCCAGGGTGAGGAGGAGCTTCTGCCTTGCAGAATCTCGTGTATGGTCGTCGGCCTTTAAGTGAGCAACGTGTCTTTCCCAGGCGGGACCCGGTGGTGGCATGGCCCGAGCAGGCTGGCTGCAGCAGCGTCGGCAGCAGCAGCAGCAGCGCCATGTGGGGCGGCCAGCCTAGCGCGGGGGGCCCCGGCCGCTGGGACACCGGCGGGAGCGTGGTCGAAGCCCTGAAGGCGGCGGCGCCGGGGGCACCCCAGGCGCCGCCGCCGCCGCAGGGGCCACAGGGGCCGCAGCAGGGGCCCCCGCAGCAGCAGGGCGGCATGGGGGGGCCCTGCGGCGTGGGACCCTGCGGAGGCCCCTGCGGCCAGCAGGAGGGGCAGCAGCACGCCCTGTACCAGACGCAGCAGTACGAGGAGGCCGGGGCCCGCTGCTGCGCCGGCTGCGGCACCAAGATCCTAGACCGGTACCTGCTGCACGCGCTGGACCGCTACTGGCACAACGGCTGCCTCAAGTGCTCCTGCTGCCAGGCCACGCTGGCCGACATCGGCATGTCCTGCTTCGCCAAGGCCGGCATGATCCTCTGCAGGAACGACTACATCAGGTGCGCTTTCCTCTCTCCTGGCCCCCTCCTCCTCGCACAAGAGCCGCCACCACTGCTGATGCATCATACAAAAATTCAGTTGGTGGACACTGTCAGTGTTCCTCTACAGACACGTTTGAAGCATGCAGATGTCATGCTTCGAAGATGGTTGCAGATAAGTCTCATGTCTTTTGCCTCATGTGTGGAGTAGTGACTGCTGCTTTCAGGCCTTCTCACACACACATCAAAGCTCTTAATGCCAAAAGCAGCACTGATACAGCTCTTACTCCAACGTAGCTTAGCACTGATACATGCACTGTATGAGGTAGCTCTGTATTGTATGAGCAAGAGGCACGGAGCCAGGATTTTGTTTCGGGGTGGAGCCCGCCTATGACAAAATGCTGTATGAGGGGGAGGGGAGGCCCTAGCAAAATTGAAGATTGGGGGGGGGGGGGGGTATTTAAAGGTACAGTGACAGGGTATTTGTGCTCGCCAAGAATTTTTATTTGTACATGACACATGACAGCCCAACTACCCAGAACAAAATTTTCAGCTCGAAATTCGTTTTCTTTCTGCCCGAAAACCGCCGATCGAGAACTGGCCGGGTGTAGTCGCGCTCACTTTCCTGTTCGTGGTCACGTGCCGTTTTCTATGGTTTAGACTCAACCACCAAATATAATCAAAGTTGTCGGTCATTGAAGACACACACACAGTATTAAAACTCGAAAAAGAAATGTGATACCCATTTTTTGTGACTGATAAAAAACTGCAAATACCTAGAACGAAACAAAAGTTGCACAGTCACGTCACTTCCCGCAACATTCTCCTCCTCTATATTTCTTCTTCCTCCGTAGCCCAGTTTAAATTTCGACTTCAAGCATCTCAGTTTTTTCTTCTTTTTTTTTTTTTTAATATAGGTGACGCTTCTGGCACCATTACGAATCGCTTGTAAAAAAAAAATGAAGCAATTCGTTGAGGGAGTGTCAGTGTCCCTTTCAAGCGCATCACGGATGCACGCCAGCCAATGCTCGTCAGGTCCCTGGATCCGTCTTTTGAAGCGACAGCTTTAAAGTGATACTGAAGCGAAACTTGAAATACACCTTTTTTGGTCAAAAATAGGCTTAATATGATCAATGATATCAAATCATAATCGCGCGTTTGAATTTTGAACGGATGGCTATATTTTTCACCCTGAAGGGCCCGATTGGGCGCGCGCTCAAAATTCAGCCATCGGAGAACGCGATGCGTCTTGGGATATTGGGCGCATTCGTGACGTCGCTTGTGCCAGACGGGAAGGGCTACGGCGTGGATGTTGTGGTTACGAGAGTTGCCACTTGGAGGCGCGTCGACGCTTTACGACCTGTAACAACGTGGCCGTTTGAGATGTGCAAGGGCTGCACGCACGCTGCACCACACTGTGCGCTGCACCACGGCGAGTCGGCAACCACGGCACCACTGGCAAAACCAGCTCTGAGGCCGGATTCTTAAAGCGAACTCACGACGAAAAAAGTGCGTACGACAAATTTGAGAGAAACCCCGTATTCTCGAAACGAAATTTTTGTAACTTTTGCGCAGGTTACGACAGAATCCTACGACAGCTCCGAAGCTGTCTTGCGCACTTTTTACGATCAAATCAACATGGCCGACAGCGTCGCTCAGTTACTTGGTAGTGACGACCGACGGACATTTGTTTTTCTACGTGCTCTTCTCGTGCGTCCCGACTTCAACCAGCAAGAAAAAAGGCAGGAGTACTTGAAACAGACCACGGCGATCAGAAACGCAACACCCGAGAAGAGCTTTCTACCAACCAAGCGAGCTCGGCAAAATATAGTAGGCCTAGTAGCAAAACCGACTCGGCGCACCGTTACTCCGGCGGTCCTTGGCCAAGACCGTCTGCCCATGACCGGCTGGCCTGCTGAATGGAATATGCCCGCGCGACCCTTGTGGACCCTTCCCGGATGAATACTAGTTTGATCCCTGAACTAAATTTCATAGGTCAATCTTTTCCCCTTGTCATCTCGATCTCCTTGTTTTCCGAGACAGCGGTGACGAACGCTGTCGTCGAAAAGGGACTCTCATTGATTCTATCTCCTTGTTTTGTGTGATATAGAGCTCAAATATACGCCATACGGATTACCTTCGCAACACGGTATGTACACGGTATGCTATTTTTATTCTGACACGACGCTACGTCACTGTCCAGCTATAGCAGTTCGTGGGAGCTACGCGATGTCGGTCAAACCTTTCTTTGCCGAGTGTCATGTCAGTATCGAGTTGCAATCGTAAAAGATCGGTCCAGAAGCGCTTAGCGAAACGCGGTCTAACAGAGCGAATCCAGCACTTCGATCAAACGCGCGTGTCCGCTCCGAGTGTGAACAGGTATTTGCGTGGCTCTTGCTGACACTCTCGTGCTTCAAACATATCTTTTTTAACGTCGGCTCGCAGCTCGCGACTCGCAGCAACTAATACCGGCCGTGCCAGAAGCATGCTCGGGTCGTGTCGTGCAAAGAACCGCAACGAGAGCGAGCTCACTGTGGCCAACTACGCTTTGGCTTTCTCCGCCAAGGCTTTGCAAACGCGTTCAGGCCTAGGCTTATTCTGCCGGCACGCCGTATTGCCGCAGAACGGCGCTGCTCCTATGCCACAAGTGATGTCACGAGAACTTTCCCACCAGCCACCAGATGTGAATTTGAAATCGTTTAATTAGGTTTAAAATTAGTTTTCCTGTGTTTTACAGCGCGATATTGATATTTCCGAGGTGGTGCCTGTCCCTAGCCCATATTTATGCAGAAAGATCGGCGCTAAAATTTCGTTTCCGTACCCCTTTAATGTGGGAACCATGCACAAGCCTTGCTTGTTCGTGGTGGTGTTGGTTGCACCGTCTGAAGGCCACGGGAGAAGCTCTTGCTTGGACGTCATAATTCGGGCTATTGCAGAGTTTTCGTAGACCGCCTTTCCCCCTCCGTTGAGTCCTCCGGGACGAAGAAGCTGCTAACGGCGCCAGCGCGCCGATGGTCTGAACTGTGGAGTTCCGGGTACCGAGCGGTTTGCGGAAAGCGTTGCGGGCCGGCGAAAACCATCTACGAAAACTCCCTATTAATTAAAGGGCAACTCCGCTTCATTTTTGATATTGAGAAAACTATGCAGCCCTCTCCCAGTATCATCTAGGAAGACCACATGTCAAATATTATGATGGAATTCCGTCTATATATTTAATAAACTGGCCAGCGAATCTTCCGATGAGCCAAGTCGCCGAAATCTGCTAACTCTAGCGTGCGACTTGAGGCACAATCAACAGTGCAGTGAATACCACGGAGTCTGAGCAGCCAACACTGAGCCACTACGTCAGAGTCATGTCTGTCATTCTCACGTTTGGTTTGTTTTTACTTCTCTGAGCGAAATTGAACGATGACGTCATGAATTGCTCCTCTCGGTGTTGGCTCAATGATGTCCACGTGGCACTGGAGGCACTTGCTTCATAACCGCTCTCAGCGACCACCATTCAAAGTGGCATCCGTTGGCAATCTGAGCTGTATCGCCAGGACGTAGGCTCCCTCGTTAACTGTAAAAGGACTCAAACATGTTTCGCGAACATTTGTTCGTTTTCTTTTCGTTTAGTCTCGTTAAATCTGGAATTCCTCAAGAAACAGGGTGCACGTTGGTCGTCACGAAGAAACCGACTTCACGAGCCCCATCGCCAGTTACAGCGAAAAAAAAAAAAAAAGCGCGAGGATTAAGGAAATTGGGCTATAATAATATAAGAAAAAAGAGAAAAAGAACCGAGAGGCGTACGGCAATATAAACGTTTATTATGAAAACAGAGACAACAAAATGCAAGACAGACAACGCGAAAATAAACGTCTAGCAAATTTATGAGCAACGCAAATCATGGACCGGTGCTTCTCTCCATGCCCCTTTCCTGGTTCCCGCTCCTGTAGCCGTGGTAGCATCTCCCCATGCCAAACCTCGTTGCCTGCTGGAGCAGAATTTGACTTTAATCACGTCTCTGTGCCTCCTGGAATGCTGGTGCTACAGTCTCGAATTTAAGTACCCCACCATCCCACCCCCCTTTCCCTTCCACGCCCTCTTTCTTTATCCCTCTCTTTCTCCCTCCCCTCTCTCTCTCTCTCGCGTTCGCCATCCCTCTGCCCTTTTCTTTTGCCCCCTTTCCGTCTACCACACCGAAGAGTCGTCGATGTTGTAAATAATATCTTGTTTTTTTTTTCTTGTTTTTTTCTTGTTTTTTTTTTTCCGCCGAGCTTTTTTTTTTTTTTTTTTTTTTTTTGGCCAGTGTAGTATAATACGTCATCTCCGTTTACCGAGTGCATTTACGGTTAATGTACACGCAAAGCGTCTTCGGCGCAATTCTACTCAAATGCTGCAGTTGCCGTCGGTTTTCTTATTTTTCTTTTTGTCGTATGATGTGTAGCGTCCTGTTGCTTCTGAGGAGTCCCCGATGCCGTGTGTTTTACTGATTTATTTGCGTTCGTTTTTTTCTGATAATACTACAGCTGTTCTTTTTTTTTTTTTTACATTTAGCGTTATGCGTTTATGTTTTATGGAAATACAGCGTGTTCCGCGTTGTGTCCAAGTCTGACCACAGTCTACTCTAGCCGATTTCTTCAACTCCTCCACGTTCGTAACATGCGTAAGTGTTGTTTTTTTTTTTTTTTTTTTTTGCTGTTTTTTTTTTTTTTTTTTGTCGTAAGATAAACTTTGGTCGCTTTGTGTGACGCACCTCTTCACAGTGAAGAGACTCGTGTCACATTAAGGGGACACCCGTGTCCCCTTAATGTAGCCGAATGCAAGCGCGTCAGGAGCCACGGGCGCCGCCGCACGAGAAATCTCATTTCCTTGAGTGCACAGCTTAATGCTTACACTCTACTACGCCGTTGAAAACGCCAAAGAACAAAGGGATAAGAAAAAAAAGGGCAAGTAAAATTGGGGAGGCTCGCGAAACTCGCGTGTCCCTTCCCCACTCCTTTCCACATCGGGAGGGGGCGAAAGAGACGATTGGAAGA